ATCTTTGCTATAAAGATAAAAACTTTAGCTCCACTATTCTTTTTTTATCACTTTCTCTAAATATAGTCATAAATACTTCTAAAAATGAATTCAAATCATAAAGGAGTTGTAAAACCTTTTCCATTAAAGATGTAAATCAAGACACATTACTTCTTAATAGAAGTGCATCTATGAATCCAACTTCAATAAATCCATCAAAGTACTAGAAGAAATGCAACTTTAGATAGACCTTAACTTATTACAAAAGTCCTCAAAATTTTGATCTTATTCCATCAAACTTCTTAGGCATACTAATCCTTCTCCTCGCCATACTTATAAAAGCAAAACTCCTTAAATTTGGTTGTGAGGTCAATCTACTTGCTTCTTTTAATTCCATAACTTCTTATTGCAAACTTTGAACTTCTTCCACAAGAAAAGGAATAATACTTCTATGATTTATATTGAAAATATACAAATTTTTTATTCTTAGAGTATTAATAAGCTCATGAAGATCAGCAAAAGTTACAAATTTATTTTCACTTTTGCTAAGAGTAGCATCCATAATTTTTTCTTCCATAGAAAAATCAAAATAATTTAAAAAATTAAATTAGAAGAAGGTAATCTGCAACCTCTAATATCAAGTAAAAATTTCCACAAAGAAGAATAATCTAATTTCTTTAAAAAAATAATAATTTCAAAAAATAAGATTGTTTGTTAAAAGGTGGATAGTCCACAATCTTCAAAATACAAAAATAGAAGTGGGATAATCTCCTCATTTTTAAAATAAAAAAAAAATAGTAAGTTAGTACTCTTATCAAACTATCAAAGATATAAATCTTGAAGAAAGAAATTATCAATATACTCTTATGTCACTAAAAAAAACTAGAAACTCATCAATAGATGATATAATAGTCAATTGGAATGGCTATTGCCAAAAACAAGAAGACTAGAAAGTCTTGAAACAAGACTAAGAACTAGAAAGGTATTGATAAGAGTGAAGGCTTCACTTTGCCTCCATATATACTCTTAACTAAGAGCTACGTGGCAATGTCCTATACAACCTCTAAAATATATTGAGTTTGAAAGACATATATCTTAACTTGCAAGGCAAGTTTTCCATATGTAGGCCACATAGTTAGTTTGTTCCACAAGCTATCAACATGTGATTAACTTGTTGACCAAGTTTCTAACCTACCAATCAATTACAAATACATGTAAAATCAAAGCAGCATTTATGAAGCTTCTAAGAAGCTTCATAGAAGATACTATAAACTTAATTTATTTTTATGTACCTTTACTTACTTCTATCCAATCATATAGGTTATTACTATAATACATATGTATTTCTATGACAAAAACTCTCATTGACCTTTGAAATTCAAATTTTAAGATTTTGATCCATCAAAATTTTGATAATATTTAATCTAATTATTTTATTTATTTAAAATTTATATAATAAATTTACAAAAATTAAGTTTATAATTTCTAAAAATTTACCTTTTAATTTTTTTCATGAAATACTTATTTGTCATTGATAAGAAAAGGAAGAATGTTGGTGAATCTCCGCTTAATACATTATATGGTAGACATCATGTTTAATAGGGAGCCTACTTTGCACAATTGTCTTAAGAATGCATTCAATGCCTAGAAGAGTGTTTGCTACAAAACTAAGGGCAACTTGGCAAACAATGGTCTGTACGAGGTCATTAAAGATTTTACAATTCCAAATGATAGTGCGATCATAATACATGACAATGTACAATACATAGCTCAGTACATAGAACCTAGATTAAGCTCAAAAGAAAGGAAAGATAGGTTCTTGAAGCTTGTAGATGTTGTAATAGCACTAAAAGATATAAGTTGTAACTATATTGTTAAGCCTTGTAAGAATATACATCATGGATTTTTTAACAAAGTTTATAAAGTCCAAGAAAGACTTAAGTTCTAAATCTCCTAAGGGATATGAGTATGAGATCAAGATCGGATTGAAAGATATAACAGAGAGGGAATTTATGGCACTCCCAAAAATCAATAATATTATCACTACAGAAGAGATATTATATTCAGTAAAAAGTAGTAGTACTGTTACAGTCAGAGAAATAAGCTCTGACTTCTTCATCAAGGAAAAGATATCATCAAAGACAATTTCCAAGTTCAATGCAGAGGTTGTACTTTTTCTTAAGCGAAGATATCACAAAGAAGAAGGAATGGCTTTAAGGATTAAAAGAAACAAAGAAAGAAGTACAATAAGCTATGACAAGTTCAAGATTGACTCAACAAGGATCACATCCGAAGCACATATTCATTACAAAATCAAACTTGAAGTGCTAGATGATGATTGTGAGCCTAAGCTCTTGGAACTTATATTAGAATGTATTAGACCTTCTACGGTTCTACAAATATTCAAACTAATAAACAAGTTGTAACTATATTTTACAAAAATATAAATACTTTTTTATTTTTAAAAAATCCAAATCATCTAAAATATCTCTAAATTTGTAAAGCTTTCACAAAATATATAGCCATTTAAATTACATAAAATCAATGCTTAAGCAAACTCTTTAAAGTATGTTCTCGTATCTTATTCTATAATCAACAAAAAAAAACCATGAAATTGATGTAGATATATGGTTTTGTGCCTTAGGATTTGATTTCAACCTTGATTCACAAATTTTAAATTTTTGAAGTAAGTTTTGCTAAAAAATTATTCTAATCTTACTTCTTAAAATGTTTACATTATTTTTTATTTTTAATCAATTTTTTATGTCTTATTTATGATTTTACAAAGTAAGTAAAAATATTTTTATAAAAAAATAGTATTCATACCAAATATATTTACTACCTTTCTATCTTCTATACATGTCTTTTTAAAATATAATTTGTATTTTTTTCTTTTGACTTTTAGTTGTATTACAGTACAACACTTCTTCTCTCCTCTCTTCTTTTTCCTCCAACTTCTATATAGCCATTGCAAGAATAAGTTAAGTTCTATGCAACAATAAGCACTTTATTTAGACTAAAATTAAATTTTAAAAGCAAATAAATAACATGCCTTAAAAAAAATCAACAACTTTTTGAGAGATAGTAGTGTATTATTTTTAAGCAATAATATTATTAATATTTTTTTAATCCTAAGTAAAATAAAGCTTATTTGATTTTTTTATTTTTTTAGGTTTAATCCCTTTTAATGCATATATATATCTATAACATTCAACAACTTAATACTAACAATAATTAAAAGTCTCTCATTTAAATAAGGTTGTTTTTATACTATTCAACTTTCATATTTTTTTAAATTGAAAATTAAAAAATTCACTTAATTCTTAAATTTGAGCTCTAGAATTTGCTTTAGCTATGTGATGTATCTAGAATTTAACACTTAATTGGTTATAAAAAGTTTAAAATTAAGATTTTTTTAGAATTTAATGATTACTTACTTCACTTTTAGATTGATTAGAATTCAAGATTTATATGATTAAAATTCACTTTACTCTTATAATTAAAAATTACAATTTATTTGATGTTTATAGTTTAATAAAATTAAAAAATATATTAATATTTTTTTAATATTTGAAATTTACTTCAAAATGAAGTAAAATTTATTAATTTTTTATAAAAGAATGACCTATTTTTAAGTTTTAATTAGAATTAAATTAAGATATATCTTATATTTAAATTTAATTTAGATAAAATCTAAATTGAAAATTTTATTAAAATGATTTAACATAAACTTAGTAATATTTTAATAATAAGATAATTGGTAATTATCTAATAATATAATAAAGTCTCATTAAAATTTATTACTTTATTTTATTAAAGTGCTTTTATAAATAAATATTTAAAAAAAAATTAAATGAAAGCTAATTATATTAATTATAAAATCTATTTTATGTTATAAATTTGATAAATATTTTAAATGTATAGTTTTAGATTTTAAGAACATGGTCTTAGTTATTAGATTCTTATTTCACAATTACTAGATTAATAAATAAAGACATTTTATAATTGAATTAAGTTTTTTAACTTGAATGAAAAAGATAATCTTTCTAAATAGAGTTTTTATTATATTAGTATCCATGATTAGTCAATTATAGAAAAAATATATTATATTTTTTAGATTATTAATATTTCATTTTATTTTAATTTAATTAATTTTTATTAAAAAAGATAATATCAATAATTAAAATAAAAATTATATCTAAAAGAATAGAAAGTTGTGGATTTTAAAGATAGAGACAAACATGTTATATAGATTTTATGAGATTTTTTAATGTATACTAATATTTGGATTACATTGGTTGACTTTTAAAATTTTCTATAATATATTTTAAATAAACCGAGATAAAGATAATAGCTATTGATGTTATCAATATAAGATTATCATGGTAATTAAAATATAAAAATAAAATATATGGATATACCTGACTG